CCCAAGTATTTTCAAGAGTGATATTTAACTCGGGGTATCGTCTTTCTCTCTTTCTTCATTCTTCTTCCTGCAAGCATGTAGGGGCCTACGATAAACAATAAGGTCATTACACGTCAACCTCTGAGTCAGAGCTAACGTGATCTCAGGTTGTTCCAGATATTATATAACGGCAACAAGTAATGTCCGCCAGAGGTGTAGCGAAGGAAAATGCTGTCTTTTGGCCTGATTTGAACTCAACACTTAGGGGCTGGGCTTGAGTGTACTGTGTAAGCCGAGAGGGTTTAACTGCAGATGCCTAACACACTAGGTGACCTTGATGCGTAACTTCGAGTTCACCATTGACGGTCAAAATAAGTCGCAGGCCAGATTAAGTGATTTCGTCTGTCAAGAGGGCCAGAAGAAGGGACAATTGGTAGAAAGCGCCCCAAAAGACAACCCCCCAAAAAAACAACAACAACAACAACAACAACACCCCCCCCCCCCAAATCAATCCCCAAAAACCAACCCCCCAAACCCCACCAGAGCTGACACTGTAGCACAATATACTAGCGATTTTAAAAAAGTACCACCCTATATGTTCGATCGTTCGTCTTTCCTGTACAAAAATAATGATTCTTTCGACCACGAAATTGAAACATGAAGTATTTCACAGATAAATTCAAAATGAACAGATTATTTTTCAGCAGAAACGTCTCTTTTATGACTGAAATTTGACGACAGGGGTAAAATCCAAAAGCCACACATCAGTGTGCCATGGGATCTCCATGTGCAAACAGCACATCAGCGTCTCTTTTGCACATATAGAGTACAAGTCCTCCTGCCAAATGTTGTTTCAGACATTAAATCGGGCTTGCAGTAACGGTGAAATGGTTCTGGGACAGGGATTCACGTCACGAGCAACACAGTTAATCCTTTACCACAGGAGCTCAACTGGGTTAAAATCTGGTGAAATGGCAGGCCGTAGATTCATTGCAGCGACGTTATTCTGGATTTTTTGAAGAATTTAATTCCGAGTGGAGTGCATGATGTGCGGGTGCATTGTTCCGTTGGAATGTCATGGGTTGATTGTGTTGTCGAAGAAATAGTAGCCAGTGCTCATGTGGTCTCCTGTACACTCTTATATTCCCATCGTGGCGTTCCATCTTGAAATTGAAAATTTTCCAAGAAGGTGACGGTGCTCCACTGCTCTAGGTCCATGAGCGGTGTAGCTGTGACCAGTTCACCCCTAGCGTGACGGTGTTTTGGCTGTAGACACAGTCTGTATGTAGGTATCCTGGCTTCTTTCTTGAATGCCTACAGTCTGCGACGAATAGTAAGCCTGTCGGCTGACGAGTTAAAGTCCCGGA